TGGACAGAAGGTGCTACTGATAAGAACAACATCTACTGGGAAACAGGAAAGATGACTTATTGGGTAAAGCACCAGTCTAAAAGCTTCAATGTATGTGTATAATAGTTAAGTATAAATAGACAGAGTCATGAAAAGCTGTGGGCATGTGAAAGGAAAACTGAGAAAAGTGAACACAGCTACCACCACAGTGCATTGGACAAAATATGGATGCATCTATAGCACCTTTTAATATGCTTGTCAATAGGTTACCTAAACATTTATGTGATAATATTCTAAGAAATTCTAAGCGACCAACCTAGAAGAATACTTTATAGATTAGAGACATCTGAGTAAAAAGACCTAGAAAAGTGAACTTCTAACAGATAGTATTAGTACTATTTGTGTTTTCTCTTATGTATTTGATTGTACAGGAATTATGGCTTTATTCCATAATGCCACTGGCATTTGTTGTTTCTGCAAGTATCTGCACTTCAAGGAGTTGTATTTTCCTGCAAGGTATTTCATGTGGCCAAACCAATTTTCTCTATTAATTCATTCTGGCCATGCACATGCCAAAGTACTGCCCATACATTCCAAAACTTGAGGAAAGATGCTAGACACGAAGTAGAAATCTGCTAATTTGAATGAATACTGATGGAATACAGAAAGGTGATGTAGCGTTAGAAAGTTGGTCTTGCCTTTAGATTATAGGCCCACTTATCCCATATACTTCTGGAGTTGACTCCATATCAGAGAAATATTTGATAAAGCCACGTTACTGCAAAGCTACGTGCATTGCAACTTGTTCGTTCTCTCCCTGTATATTTTGGAAAACAGTAACTCTTCAAGGGTTGTATTTCAGACAGCCTGAAATAAAGGACACAAGAAGGATGAGCAAGGAATGATGGAGGAAATGGCAAGAAGGAAGAATGCACCACAAGGAAGCCAGAGGAGCAAGGCAGGAGCTTCACAGGGCTCCAAGCAAGGAAAGATTGTTTGCACTACTAATTTCCTTCCTTTTTATCCTTGCAGATGACATAATAACTTCGTGTAGTATTGTAATTATCTTACCATTTGTAATTTTATTTGTTATGAACAAAGTCATTTGGCATGGAGCTTAGAGTCATTTAAGATGAGGAACAGTTTCTCATGAAGACGCTGTTTTCTGATGCAAATCGGAAGCCCAGTTGAAAGACATATTTCTCTTTTCCATGCAGAAAGATACATAGAATTTGTCCTCATTTTCAAGAAATGTGGACTGCCCTACTCAAGGACATAAAGAAGCCTGAGCCTATCGACAACAGAAATAGGACACTACCCTGCCAAATATAGGGGAATGAATAAAGTGAAAGACAATAAAAGTCGGTAAAGTGGGAAATCTCATGCAGGGTGAATGATTTCCTATATAGCATAAGCAAAATTTGCTGCTGTTTCAGTTCCACACGGCTACACTGAGGATGAATAAAATTTTAGTCATGAACACGTTACAAAAAGCACTCAAATCCATAGGTGGATCACAGTGGTGCATGGATGTGATATGGTTTTTTTGAAAAAGGAAAATACAATTAAACTTATTTCTATAATTTTCCTTAGTAGCTTCCCTGCATAAGATGACAATTTACTCCTGACTTAGAAAAATCAAACAACATGTTAGAATCTCACATACACTAAAGACATCTTTAAAATAAGTTAACAAAGCTGAAGCTACATGGTATTTATCATTGCACAGTGAGAGTCAGCAAGATGATATTGTAAAATATCCTTAGTAATAGTCAGTTAAAAAGTCTGCAGGGGATAAGGTCAAAGAAAGGTTAGCAGCTGACATCAAACCAGGAGCCAGATGTGCTGACCCTTAATCGTAGGCTTTGTGCACTGCAAATCAGCATAACATTATTGAATTCACCTTTAGATTAAGGTTTGACATATACAAGCCCATATGCAAGTTAATGGCTGTGTCGCCCTCTTAATTATGCGAGCTTTGATAAGCGATCAGCGAGGTGACCCCTGCAACCGGCAGTCTGCAAGGTCCTTAACCATTTGCATGTTCAACCAACAGAAAGTGGTGCTCCCCATTTAGTCAATACTGGACCATTAATTGCGGTATACAAATTACAGCCTGGAAACAGTAATCAGCAGAAAGGTTTTTTTTTTTTTTTTTTTTGCGCTCTTTAGCTCAGCACTATGTTATATTGAAAGCCACCTACCCATGTACTGACACAAAATCTTTGGCTTTGTAGAGAAAACAATTTTTTTTAGGGACAGCAGTTCCAATGAAAGCCTAGGGATTACTCTGTGGACTAAAATTAAGCATTATTAGAGAAGGATTTTGAAGAATTTAAAGTCTTGGAAAAATATGTTTAAGTTCCACAAAAGTTTGGAGAAGCCGAATTTAAGGTTATGAATGGAAACCCTAGCGCTTCCTCATTGCTCATACATGATCTTGCAGTCTTAGATCATGCGATCACTTTGTAAAGAACTGTTGCATTACAACTGAGGTGAAAAGGAGGTTCACATAGTGCAATTTCTGAGCTTAATAAATATTTTTGCTTTCTTAATGAAAAGATTGAGACATTGACACACTGTTACCATTCTTCAATGGACATGCTTCCAACTTGCTCATTACATGACTCAAACTGTGGAGTAATTAGTGATGGTAAGGTCACTGACAACAGACCTGGCTCATCTGCCAAACACCATTGACCTCTGAACTAAAAATACATTTACTGTATATTGCAGCACAATAAAAAACAGACTGATCGCTGATTCCACTGACACTACTTCTGTTTCACACATTGTGGAAAGGATTTGGCCAGGAACAGGTCAGTGGTGCCATGTCCTCTGCCCTCATCACTGTGCAGTCTGATCTCTGTGCTGAACAGGGCAGGCATGATGAGGAGATGGTGCATTTCACAGTTCTGACCCTCCTCACAGTGCTATCGCATATTCCTTCTGTGAAAGGCCTGCCAGTGTCTATAATGACCTGGAAGCCCACACAAAATGTTATTATCACAGCTGACATGCATAGTACCCATGTTCTGAGGTGACTGAAGCCACAGAACCTTAATAGTCTGATTTTTGGCCTGCTCCCCACAAGAGCAGGCATATGCATGGGCAGTTTTTGCATACCTAGTATTAGTGTCTATCTCCTAGATTCTTCACCTCTTCTACTTTACTTGGTATTTTATCCTTTGTTCTTATTAGCTGTTGCTATGGGAAAGTACAGCTGAAGAAAAAATGTTTTAGTATTTACATTTGCATTTGTGATATCTCTAATTTCTTCGATGACAAGATCCAAGACAGCAGTTAATGGTGGTATTTTTTTCTTTTCCCTTCTCACAAGCCTCATTTAGGAGGCTGGTCACTATCATTTCTGGGGAATGCAACTATTAAGAGACACTGCCATCACAGATCAAAATATCTCCAGTTCCCCCAACAAGCCTCTGACTTGGAGGAAGGCTTTGCACTTTAAGCAGGTCTATTCCACTTGCAAGTCTCAAATCTTAAAATGTAATTAGGTATTTCACTTATGTAACTGCTGCCAGTGTCATCAGAGCGAGCAGGTTCAGCTGACAGGGAAGACAAACTACATCTTGGCTTTTAGAGTCCACTCCAATCATCACAGAAAGGAATTAAAGATAATTCTTTCCAAAAACCAAAACAAGCTTATGGCTCATGGGTGAAACTGTACTTTGCTGTAGCATTTATACACAAGACCTTGGTGCCTATATCTAAAGACACTCCACGCTGTTCAGCAAGCTAGACCTATCTATTTTTTAATTAGCACTCTAATGTAACAAAGAAACCAGAAAACCTACAGTAGCTTAATTAAGATGAAATGAAGACATTTGAAGTTAGTTAAATATGAAAGTGCATTTCATAATGAGAACAAATTCCTCTGGGATATTATTTTTTTATATTAATTTTCCCACTACAGGGACAGCTTTGGACTGGAGGCTGGAAACAAGAACTGTATACTTCTGCTGAAAGGCTCCCTATAGAGATAATTACTAAGGGCAACATTTTAACTTATCTTTAGTTCCAGACTTAGCCCTTTGAGATGATGAGGGTAAAGCAGACCTCTCCATTAACTTTTCTCAGGTTGTTCTGCAGACTCAGGAAGACATTATTTATATTCTGTTCATGTATTTGAGTTGACCTTTATTGTTATGAGGATAGAAACAGCTGTTTTAGAAAACAGAAGCTGAGATTATTAATCACTATTCTATAAGAAGGAATTCATTTAGTAAAAAACTCCATTGCTACAGAATCATGCAATAACAAGAACCTTGCTGATAGCTTGGCTAAATTGAGGGTTTCATTGTGTTTAGATGTCAGTCTCACATCTATCATCACTACTAAATAATTTTTAAAGGATTAAAAAGCCCAAGAGGTATCCAGCCCCCACATGACATTCACAATTCATTTGTTCCTGTGTTCTAGGTACTATTTTTAGAAACAGAAGAAACAGACAAATCAGTTATCAACTACATTCATGTGTATGGCTTAATCCTACAAAAGCAGGGAAGAAGTAAGGCAACTGCAGTCGGTGCATTAATCAGAATATTCTTAGCAGGATGTTCAGGTTTTATTTTTGGTAAAAATATTCAAAGTGGAAGGTTGTGTGATCTTTAAGATTTCTCCCTGAGACAGCAAGCAGAGGAACTAAAAATTCACACAGGAGACGGGTGTCTGGAGGCAGCCTCTATGTATACTGACAGTAACAACCCTGAAAATGATAAATGCAAAATATACTGAAAACAAATTTCATCTTACTTTACAGTTTCAATAATAGATTTATACATGTAACAGATGAGCTGACAATAAATACAAATGCATCCACACAGCTGGGTAAATTTAAATTACTCAAGCAGAGGGAGATCGTGGGTGGAGAAATAAGGGAAGCTGCTCTATATCCGTGTGAAATCTGACCCTTGAAATAAGCGTTTCCAAAGAAAAGGCAACCAGGAGTGGTATTCCTCCTGAAGTAGCCTCACACAGGAAAAAATATTTCAAGTGAACAATCCTCAGCCCTGTGGTATGCAACTCAAATCTTGAGTTCTGGAGCCTTAGCTCTGGCTTTCTTTATACACAAGGTGCAAAGTGAAGAACACAGTCCTGCCATGCCACACACCAGGCTCTGAGCAGCACATCTCCCAATGACACTGCAGCTGCGTGAAGGGAATCCTGGAAATCAAACAAGTGCAAGCAACCTATTATACCTGCCTCCCCACCACACTTTACTATATATCAACTACTCTTCTACAGTTGAGCTCTGCTGGTTCCTTTCATCCTGCTGAAATCCATCAGTTGACAGCTATTTTCTCCTCATCCATGTATTAAAAGCAGAGACAAAAATGCACACATTATTTGCTTCTAGAACCACTGTGGATTTCTTACATCTCTGGTTGCAAACACCTGCTTCAGTGTAAATGCCAGCATGTAAATGTGTAAGGTGACCGGGGTAAAGGCATAGCAGGTTATGGATATCTGTGAACTACTAGTAATCCCCAATAATGCTGTTTAAAAAAAAAAAAAAACACAAAAAACACACCCCCCAAGCATGTAATACATAGTAAGAGGGGAGCATATCTATATAAATTGAGTAAAAAATCCTCAAGAATGAATGTACTGACATTGCTGGAGAAGCTTGCAGAGGATAATAACCATGGAGACCTCCTGTTTGTCAGCATAGACTGTTAATGGGTTGAAGTTGCTGCAGCAATGTGCATGCCAAAGAGGTGCAAAAATTTTTTTAGCACTAGAGAATCATCTCAAAAAGAGCAACATTTTGGAGTAACATGGTATGATATTTATAGCATACGCGTAATAATATTGTTTAATAGTTGTGTTTGTGTGAATAAAAAGTAGATGCAGGCACTCTTAATTGCAACAGAAACTTTCTCTGTTCCACCTTTGAAATTAATGAAAATTAGGCACCCACACTTCTTTAAAGGCCTGGTTTTTGTTGTGTAAAGCTAACTGAAAAACTTCGTCTTGATTTAAGGGGATAGATTTGTCATCTTGATTTCTTATTTAATGGAAAGAGATGGAGTCCCTGCTCTGTTGTTACTATATAGTCAGGTATTAGGTATTAGGACAACAAGTAGTTTTCTTTAAAATTCTAGCATATACACTAAAGAAACCAGATGCCATCTAATTTAGATAATTTGGCTCAATTTTTTTAGAAAAGCAACTGCTGTTGACAATAATAGCAGCTAGTCAGACTTTCTGGTTTTTAATTGTAGCCTAGGGTTTGTCAAGATGAAAGTCTTCAGACGAACACAGATCATCGCTCAGGAAAGAAAGCAAGACTTTGAGAACTTTGAGCACAGCCCATTTCTCCTAATCCTATAATTTTAGGGAGGCTATACAAGCTGCACATAACATGATTTAGTTACCAGTAAAACAGCCATCAGTAGTAAAAAAAATTAAACTCTCAAGTGAGCATCTGATTCATAATGTGCTTGTCTTACAGTTAATTGTCTCTCTTTTTGTCTCATTCTACTCCCAAAAGACTATCTTTAATTTAATTAATAGAGCTTTTCCAGATAAACACATGTCCATAAATTACTACTTCCTTTTCTTTCTATATATACACACACACACACTACATTTTCCTTTCTGCTGGGATATTTTCACTGTAAACAGAAACAGAATTTATATTGGCCCTGAGATGAAGAATAACTTGGATCTGCTCAGTTTACTAACGAAAGCATAAGAATGGATATACAAGAAAATATTTTTTCTATAAAATGAGCTCAATAATTGTTTCCTGGCTAGATGAATACTTAACTTGTATTACAGGCTGTTTCCTATTCCTTTCTCTTGTTTCTGATAATCAGAAAGAAATTTATATTTCTCCATTATTAAGCCCCTCAAAATCTCTAAAGGCAGTTTTTTGAAAGGAAATTCCAGAATTTCTTAAATAGGAATTCTGTAAAGCAACTGGTAGAAACAAATTATCACAGCCCTGTTTGACAGATTTATTTAGGAATAAACATAGATCCTGGTTTGGTATACAAGATTAAGCTTGTAGGGTTCATTATTTGCTCATAAATAACAAAAGATAGAACCTTGGGGATTTTTTATGCTTCTCCTAAAGCCATCCCTAATTCAAACCATCTCAAATGTAGGATTCCAATTAAAAAAAAGCTATTATTTTATCATATTTTTTTCCCCCAAACCTGGTTTTGTAATCACTTAAACACATAATAAACCCACTCTGAAACTATTCAAATATTTCATCAATGTAGCCTATGTTCACTCTTTCAATGAATTTTGAAATAGCTTAGAAATTTTTGCCTACCACATAACTGTTGGTTTCTAGATCATGTTAGATGATTTCGTTTGAATTATTTTTCTACTGAGCTTGTCTTCATACCTAGTGGGGCTTTTTCTGCAGACTGAAGCCAGGTGGACATGCCCATTTCTTGGAATATAATCCATATTGCTTGGCATTCTTGAAGTCAAACCCACAGAGCCCAGTGCTTCACACCCAATAAACTATTGCTTGACCTTGAACTGGATCCATATTCCTAGCTGTCAATACCTGTCTTTAGGGGTGACCAGTCTGAAATACCTAATGTGTGGGAGTCAAGAGAGTCAGTGTACATGAGCAGGGCCATTTTAGGTGCTTAGAATATCCAAAATGTTTGCACAAGAGAATATTCCTTCTAGAGACCAACTATTAATTAAATTTGTCCCTATTTAAGCAATAATGACAGTAATGGTGTTCCAAGTAACTAGCAGTTATGCACTTTTGTTAGACAAAAAACAGTTTCTTCAGAGAGGTTCCGCAAAATGACTCTTCTGTTTTAGCATGTGTCATTTAAGTGGCAATTACTGTGGTAATGTTTTAAATGTGTATCATGCCTTTCATTCTGTGCAGCAAACCTGTACTTTCACAGAAGTAAGAGTTGAGGGAAACTAATGGGTTTTGACTAGACTATTCAAAATAGGCTAGAAGAGGAAACATTTGAATAATGGCAGTAACAAAAAAATGTGGTTTGGCTTATTATTTCATACAGACAAAACACAAAACAATTGAACAGATTTTTTCTAAGATTTTGTCTAAGATCTCCTAAGCAATTTATTTCTTTTTTTTGTCAGTCAAGAAAATTTTGAGCCTTTAATGTACTGAGAAAATTATCCAAGATAACAAGAAAACAGAAGCTTAAATCTTCCAATCTCTTCCTTTGTCTGATAAAAGGTATAAAATTTCATCTATGCTTATTCATCAGTGGGCATAAGAAATTAATATTTATAAATGCTTGACCTGTTGCGCCCAAATCTCCCCCCCCCCCCAAAAAAAAAAAGATGAACTCCTGGCAACCAGATCAAACTAAAATTAGAGGTATAGTAATCAGCATGTTTAAGCATGCTTATACCTTATTGTTACGATTGAAGTTTAAAAAGAGTTCCCTGAAACAATTGCAGCTAATGATATGTCCTTGAATCAGTAGAGGAACATCTAGAACTCAAGGGAAAAACAGACTGTTGATGACAACTTCTGTCTGAACATTTTACCATGTGGTTTGTTGAACAACAAAGCAGGGCCTCCTTACAGGATTAATGGTGAAAAACCCTTCGCAGAAACCTGTGAGTAGTAAGAGGCAACAAGTGTGCCCAGTTAAGATGACTGACTTGAATCCACTTAAGACTGTCCCAAAAAGGCAGTTTCCTATGGAAGGTAGTATAATTACATTTTATGGGGTTTTGACTCACACTAAAGGAGGGTGTTTTTTGCATAGAAGGTGAAAGGAAATACAGTGTATAAATAATGAATTTACTACATCCCTGCTGGCCTACAAGCACATGGATATTTTCTGGGTCTCATCCCAGAAAGTGCTCAGAAGGCATAGGTTAGGAGAAGGAGGGGATTCTAAGGAACTTATCTAATTTGTATTTTGAGTCATTCCCTTCTCAACAGCTCTTTTAAAAAGTCACTGAATTCTTTACTGCATTAGCTTGGAAGAATATTTGGCAGGTTAGTAAATGCCTCTCTTTTGATAATGTGGAATTAATATCACTGTTTACAACTGAATGTGTTCCCTCATCTTCATTGCTTAACCCTGTGTAGTGCTCTCACCCTGGAGACCACTCTGAGTCTGGCCTTGATGCTACCTCTCTTTGGCCTTACCAGTGTGTCCACAGGATTACTACAACACATCCTGTTAAGCCTGGACTTTGTAAACTCAAATCCTGTTAGTCTCCCAAAACCTTCTGAAAGTTGGAATTCATTGACTCTTTTATGACATGAAAGCTTTATATAAACCAAAGAAATAATATGGATTTAACAGTACGTAGATTCCAAAAGCTACCAATGAAATACAATGGTGCTACATTACCAATGTGAGCTCAAAAGATACTACATGCAGCCTCATGTTGTAATTAACAACTGTAAATCCATTAAGATTTGCATTTGAGCATGTTGTCATCCTTACTGTCTAGGAAGTAAAGATCAGTAGATTACCCTTCCTCACAAAAAAAGAAGCTGAAGCATTTGGCATAGTATGAATATTTAAATTGCAATAAATAGCAATAGATTGCTAATTCCCTTTGAGCATATCATGAATATGAATTGTCACTGAATTTTTAAGAGTCCGAAGTCAAGTTCTGCAGTCACATTCAACTGAGGGCACTATTTTGTAGATGCAAATAAATGTGAATCAAATAATGGCTCACAACCAAGTGGTTCTTGCATGTCATCACCGCACAGAAGACAAAATGTATTCTCTTTCTCTGCAATCAAAGCTGAAGAAACACTGCTTATCAAGTCAGCACAGCCTCAACAATGGATTCAATCAGGGACTGTGTGAAGGGGCATCAGTGAGCTCTGCTGATAGGCTCAAACAAAACACCTACAAAATTAATCTTAAGAGCATAAGCAAGTCAGTGCTGCATCACACCAAGGTCCAGCTAGAGCACTATTCTGATACAGAAAGCCAACAGCAGATGCTTAGCAGAGCATATAAGAGTAGGGGACGTAAACAGTAATATTTAACCCAGAATACTGTCCCATTTTCCACAGATCTGTACCTCATACACTTCCTGAGCCAGATGTGATATCCCTGTATTTCATGGGAGGGTTTTTCTCCCCAAGTATTTATCCATTCACTGACAAGTCACAGCATCCTGTGGAAATGATTGCAGTTTCACTGACATCATCTGAAAAAGTGGCTTTGTATTTGTTTTCAACCTTCTACTTTCATCTAATGGTTTTTATCTTCTGTTTTGGAAAAAAAAAAATCAATCCTTTTCCACCTTCCCCATGCCAGTAAGTGATTTTTCCAGATATCTGTCATCTCCCTTTTTAGTCATTCTTTTTCCAGGCTCAAAAAGATATATATTAACCTGTTAGCTCAGTCTGAACTATCTTTGGCCATCTACACTCTTTATGTTTTCTGATTCCTTTATATTGCTTTTGAGACCAAGGAGTAGAATTTCACAAAGGCATAGGGAAAGTACACAACAGATCTATGAAGTTACAAGATTCTGTTCTTTCGTTTTCTTTCTTCTCTTTTACATGACAATTTCCAATATTCTATTTGCTTCTTTGACTGCTGAAGAATATTGAGCTGATGTAGTCATAAAATTGCCTCTTACTATTCCAAGAACCTGTTCATAAGTAGTTGTAATTAGGTCAGATCCTGCCACTGAATATGTCAGGTTAGAATTGTTTTTTTTTTCCTATGTGCATTTAGATTTAGCATTTTTTTACTCAGCATCAAATAGTATCATAAGGCTTCTCTCCAATTCTAAGCCTTTTGTAGTTCTTTAAAAGAATAGTAGACAACAAAAGTATTTTCCACTTGCAATTAGCAGGTAAGTCATGGGTAAGTTTGATCCCATAACATAAGCAAAAAGTTTAAGGAACCCAGAGTCACAGCAGAGCCTGTAAAATGAATCCCTACCTTCCCATAGAAATAAAAAAGAGCTATTTTTTCTTACTATCAGCAGCCATAACCTAGGTGTTCTTTAGATAACCTCAACTGCTAAACTCTTTGAAAAACACAACATTCCTTTAGAAAATAACACTTATTCTCATGCTCTATTAGCCTGTTTTCAGTCCTTCATTCCTGATTAACATAGCTGAAAAATCATTGGGAATCAAACTCCAACAGCACATCTTGCTTTTGACCATCCTGGAATTAGAGTGACCAATGTTCATTAAGAGATGAAATTAAGCTGAATCTAGACAAGACTGAGTTTTAACTGCTTTTATCTGTCAGCTATAAGCAAAATTTGTATCTGCCTCTCATTTCCATACCTCTGTATACCTTCATAGCTGTAAAACAACTGTGGACTTATGAAACTGTTTTCCTCAGTCAGAAACTGTTTGAGACCATTGCTTTTAGCAGTACACAGAATAAAAGTGTTATAAAACAAATAAATGATTTTGTAACTTCAGTATCACTTATGAAAGCAATATTCCAGGAAATTTTGTCTGCAGAAAAGGAAACAAAATTAAAACAAAAGAAATATCTGTAAAACATGGAGACCTTACCAGAAAGTACTGCAAGGAGAAAAATCTAAAGAGCACAGATGCAGAGACAAAGATTGATTGGTGTAGTCTGGGAACTACCCAAAAACATTCCTTACTTTTGTGTTGGCCTAGTAGCACTCTTGGGAGGTATTCTCAAAGAAGTAGCAGCAATGTTCTCTTTCCTCATTTATTTGAGCAGAGATATAGGAAGGTATCTAGGGAAACAAAGAAGAAAAAAAAATTCTATAAATTCTTATTAAGTCTAATGCTTTTTAAATAGAAGAGATAGTTACCTGATTTTTATTGCACAATTTAAACATATTATTAAAATACATACTCTACTTACATGCTCCTATAAGTAAAACTGCTTTACACATAAGGTGGATAACCCACAGCTAACAAGCCATAGAAACAATCCTGGTAAAGAAGGTATAGACACGATGACTGAGGCTTTTCTAGTCCTCATTATTGTGATTTTTGTCAACTACAGCTGCGAGCAATCAGATAAGCTTACTGTTCTTAATGCAATGCATTTGGAGGGCTCGTTAGTCATTCTATAAATGTTCTGCATGGGGCTTGACGAGATATTGTAAGAAGTTGAATATGTAGGCTCTGCTGCTTTGGATTTCTGTTATTGTCATGATGTAAGTCTGGAAGATGATTATGAGATGATGAACAGACCTTCTTTTAACAGAAAACAGTCAGGTAAGCAAGGTTAGTAAAAAAAAAAAAAAGTGAGCAAAGTGTGGAAAAAATGTAGAGAAAAGATGTGAATAAATAGAAAGAAAGTAATAGGAGTGGGTGAAAGCAAAGGAAAACTCAGCCTATGACATTCACCTGAAAACCTTTGGTTTTCTCTCACTGCATTAAGGATGTATTTAGTCTGAAGTCCTACTTTCACTCCATTATTTCATTCAAATGCAAGAAAGACAATAAGCAATGAGCTAGAAAAATACTTTATAAAAGGCCTTTATTTTTTGCAGCAGGCTGCGAATGTATATGTGCAGAGCTAAAGCCAGCTTCAAAAGAAGCAAGTCCTCACTGTAATTTGGAGCAGCGCTGTATCCTTAATTACTTTGGATGCCTGTAGTGGCTTCCCTGAGACGCCGTCCCACCAGCCCAGCACTACAAAAAGCACCGGCTTTGACTAGCTCACAGACCTGACCTGTCTGCTCCGCCAGGTTTGGTAGTAACAGGACAGAAACTAATTGTCTTGAACAGATTATGCCACAAGGGATTGCCCTTTGCTAAGTTCAGCTTCAGCCACTTAGTCAGATAAAGGTATGGGAACTTGAGTCCTTATCTGATCTATTATACTCCTTTCCCTCCTCTACATCAAATAAAAATTATCTCCAAAAGAAAAGTTAATTCTAATATTTTCTAAGATGTGTGATCTGAGCACAAGCGTGAAGGGTACTGAACAACCTTGGCTTTGTAGAATTTGGGGTCTGGGCAGAGATACTAAACTGGGGCCCTCCATTTCATTCCTTTTTTCTGAAGTTCTCCCCAGAAAGATACAGCAATAGCTGTGGATATTTACACAAGGAATGAAACGTCTTGATTTACTGCTAGGATCTTCTAGTATGTAAACCCCTCTGCAATTAATTGCACAGCCTGAATTTTCAATAGCTCACTGTCAAAGCACGAGGATTTTTTAAATAGAAAAAGCAGGGGTACATTCTTCGTTGTATTGCTGCTTATGTATCATATGGAGAAGTACATTATTTGGAGGCTTAATAACTTTGGAAACAAAACTAAAAGTACAAGAAAACTATTCCAGTATGTATTTTGTATTATTTAAACCACACATCCCCAAAATAATTTTGAAAATATGCTGTAAGTGTTACTTGCTGCCTGTTAGTGCTGCTGGATGAAGGACGTAAATCCATATGCAAAGTTTGAAAAGACTTTTGGGACCCTTACTGACTCCTCTAGAAAGGCACATTTAGAAGAATTGAATTTAATTGTCTGCCAAGTCAGTCATGTTGTTATTGAAAAGAATGCACCCAAGGTGAATAGAGCGTATTTAAGCACACTGTCTGCCCACATACCGTTGATAAGGCTGCCTTTGCCTCGATGCCCACTTCGCGATTGCTCCTGCGCAACATGCAGCACATGGTGGTTGGGCATGCCAATGTAGCACTTGCCAAATGCATCAGGATCTTTTGAATGGAAAACATGTAAGTACAAGATAATATTTGTTATTAATATACGCTACATGCGCAGTGTTTGTTCCCATGCCCCTGGGGAGACAGGGACAGAAGGTTTGGGAGCTATTAGATTATAATGCAGGTTATTATTATAATATAGATTTTCATGAGCCTTCCTTCTAACTCCTTGCTTCTTGCCAGCTAGACTCTGCTCCTACACTGCAATCATCCTCATGTGTTTGGTAAACACCTCCGAGCATTGCTGTATCTTGTGTTGTTCCCTGCAGGATAAAAGGGATGGTGGCTCGCGGTGCCGCCGCTTGCCCTGACTTGTGGTCTCAAGCAATTGCACAACCAGGATCTACCTGCGATCACGCTCTGCGACTCGGAGGCATTTTTAAAAGCCTCAGATTTATTTGTTCTGCTGGGACCTATGTAAACATAAACAGGAGCGCCCCTTTGGGTGACATTCCAGAGGCCCGGCGGTGTTTGCACGCTTTCATCTCCGAGCAGGTGACGCCTGCAGCCCGCTCCTTAACCGCGGTGCCTAAATACGTATGCGCGGGGCGGCAGGAGAAGGATTCGCACAGCGAGGGACACGATGGAGGCTGAGCGGGCTTGCTCTGACAGTGCGGGGGCAGAACACGCGGTGCTGGCGGCGCGGCCGCCCCTCTCGCGGGGCTGCAAGGAGGCGGCCGGGCCGCGCGGAGCCGCCCCGCAGATGGCGGCATTGAGCAGGCAATCCCGGCGCCGCAGCGGGGCCTGCGCGGCGCCGCGTCCCGCCCCGCGCGCTGCAGAGCGCCTGCAACGTCCAGCTCGGCTGCGGGGGGAGCGCGGGAAGCGCTCGCGCTGCGCGGGGAATCGGATCGCCTCGAGTCCCGCGCGGGGGCCACGTGGCGGCGGCTCCGCGCGGGCTGTGGCCGCGGCGGGGCGGGCAGCCGCCTCACTGCGGCGGCCCCGGCGGCGGGGATAAATAACGCGGCGCTCAATGGCGGCGACGCCTCCTTACTAC